TTAGAGGACAAAAATAGTTTCTGATCTGATTTTATTGGTCTTGCCCTGAAATAATCATGCTATTTAGAGAGTATGTGCTGTTTTTAATATTTTAAAGGAGCATGTGCTAAGTTTTTAAGGTGTGAAGGAAAATAACACCTCTCCAGCTCCTGTTTTCCTTTATTTCTCCACTGCACTGAGCTACTCAAAAGTTCTCTCACTGAGGTAAATAACAGGGAAACTTGCTCCTTTTCCATTTCATATGATTTTCTAACTCTGAAAAACAGCTGTTTTAGCAAACAGAATAAAGATAGTATTGTGACTAGCTGTGATTTAGGGTATATCAAGGTATGGACAATTATCTCGAGTGACATAATGAAATTATCCCCCAAAGCAGACTGATTTCAATCCACTTTGATCTTAGAATTAATAATTCCATATGTAGTTTATACAAGGAGGAGGAGCAGGAGAAAGAGGAGCAAAAGGAGGAAGAGGGATGCTACAACTTTCCCAAAGCTGAAAATTGTTACTTTAGGCAGTATGGGAAAAGAAGACTTGAATTTTATACTAAAGCTGAGCCCATCTAATTACAAACAAAATTATTTTTCACTATACCTCTACCAAAAAAAAGTTGCCAACAAGACAATATTTATGTATTTAGCAAATCTGAGGCACAGGAATAAATGGCTGAATACTATGCTGAATATTTGATTAAAAAGGTAGGGCTTTACTTGAAAAATTGAAGGACTTAAGTAATATGAGTACTAAGTAAAAATTTTCTTTTTAGTTTAGAGGCTTCAGAGTACACACTATAAATATATGGCACAGTTTATAAAAATCTATTTGATTTGTAGAAGTTTAAATTATTTAATCAGAGCCATTCTCTCACACAGTCACTTTTGGGTGGCTCTCTTGTTTTAGGCACCCAAAAATTGCCTTTGACAGTAAATAATAAAAAGGACAAATATCTACCCCCCCTATTAAAAGGACTAGTCAAATTTAAGAGTAGAATTATGTTCTATAACTTGAAAAGCAGAAAATATAATGACATATGCTATATATGTGGCAAAGTATAGTAATTAAGAGCGTGAGTTCTGGAGTCATGGTACTTGATTTTCAGCTCCAGCACCTTAGTATTAACTGTGTGATCTTCATTTGGTTACTTAACCAATCTCTCTCTAACTTTATTCATATGTAAAATAAGGGTATAGTAGAATCCTCCTCATGGGGTTATTTTGAATATTAAGATAATCTGTGTAGTCCTAGCTGGTTTGGCTCAGTGGATAGAGTGTCAGCCTGAGGACTGAAGGGTCCTGGGTTTGATTCTAGTCAAGGGAACATGCCCAGGTTGCGGACTCAAACCTCAGTGAGGGGCGTGCAGGAGGCAGCCGGTCAATGATTCTCTCTTATCATTGTTCCTATCTCTCTCTCCCACTCCCTTCCTCTCTGAAATCAATAAGAATATATTTAAAAAAAGACAATCTGTGTAACATATTTGTCACATAAAGCTTTTAATAGGTGATAGTTATCATCATCAAAAGAAAAGACTGACAAGTTTAAAGGATTTGAAATTGTTTTGTCTCTATGGAAAAATATGTTGGGAATGATCTCCTATCTTCACAGAATATTAGAAATACAAAGGAGAGTTTAAGATCCTGTAATCCACACTAGCACACACCTACATACCATTTCTCACACGAGGAAACTGAAGCTCAGGGAGATGATGTGAGTTGTTTGATATCACACAGTTATCTAGTAATATAACTAGAAGTAGAACTCAGGGCTCCTGACTCCATGTATAGGTCTCTTTCCACTATATTACGATAGTAATCGCCACTCACCCCTTCCCCAAATTTTAATTGTTTTGTTAATTTAATAAAAGGCACCCCAGGGGCTGTGTCACAGAGAGCATAAGAACAGAAGATGTAACTATTTTTTGAATTTAATGACTTCAACATGAAGGATTTAGGTAAGCTATATACAGATCAGGGACACTTAAAATTAAACACTGAACAGGTTATCAAGAGGGCAAGTTAAACTCCTATTCTTGGGGTGCCTTTAAAACTAAGGCATCCTCTTCATTCACATTTTTATCAATTCCTATGGAATGGGTAATAGTTATTTGAGGGATGACTTGCTGCATTTCTGCCTAGAGCTAGATACCACTGGAGTGCCTTCCATTATCAAGATAATGTACATTTTGGACATTTACTCAGACCATCATACTTAATTCTGTAGATTTCCAGGGAAAAGAGTTTTCTTTAGCAAGTCTTTCTGGAATTAATAAACTTTATATTCAGATTGCTTTTCCACCTTATAACCAGCCTAATACTACTACAGTTTTTCACCCTGATCAGCATCATATATCTTAATGTTCTCTGAGGCATATCAAGCTACCACCTTAATATTTTACTTTTTGTAGCTATCCCATTTGTTCTGTTTTTTTATGAGGATTGCAAGCCATATTTGCCTAGATCAATTCTAATAATAGACTCAAAATAAGTAAGTTATAATCTTAATTAATAATTAATAATGTCTTAATTTTTTAAGAATTAATGTGTCAGCTTTCTAAATATAAGAAATTTGGATATTTTATTTTAGGATCAGACTAGTTTTTGTGCAAATGTACCAATTCCCCTTTTAAATATTTGCTACCTTAGCAGCTGAATAAAGTAACCCTGCCTATACTATGATAAATAAATGTCCTAAAGCTATGATATATATAGATAGATAGATAGATAGATAGATAGATAGATAGATAGATAGATAGATATAGATATGGATATTGATATTGATAGAGATATGTATGTGGGGGGTTTTGTGTGTAGGCCTACTTGTGTTAATTTCTGAAAATTTATAAAACTTCATAGCACACACTTTTATCTTAAAAGCTAGCTCACTTGGCCAGTAAGTTCCGTTCTGTTTAATGTGCTGATGTCATCAGATTTGAATTGGTTAAAAAGAGGGGGAAATAACTACCATTTATAAACCTTGTACCAGGTGTCAAGCAATGTCCACAAACTGTCTTCTTGAAGTGATCCCAGTATTAGTAGCCCTGGCCAGAAAAACCTAAGAGTTGCGGAAAAGCATCCTCCAGACATGAATACTTTTATGCATTGCTAGTGGATGTGTATGAGTATAACCATTTGAGAATTGAATTGGGCAGTATCTGTTAAAACAAACAGTACACATACGCTGTGCCCCAGCAATACCACTTCTTTGTGGTATTTAAGAGAAATAATCACACTGCACAAGAATGCTCATTACAGTATAGAGAAAACCCAGAAATAATTTAAATTTTGGTAAATAAGGTAACAAACAGACATTATAGAACATTATGTATTAATTTAAAATAATGACTTGAAACATATTTAATCTATAATACAAGAGATATATTGTTTGGTTAATGTTTCAGAATAATAAATTAATAAATGCTATATATATATATATATATATCTGACAGTGATGGTTACTTTTGGGTAAGGGATTTCAATGCAGGGAGCATGGTTAAGGGACGGTCTTTGACTTCATGGAAAAAGATCTGTATACCATTTTATGTTACAATGTGTCTATGTACTATTGCATAACTAAAAAGCACCCCCTTTTCCCCTTATCTCTCAGAAGCTGCTTTTGTTAGATCTGAGAGCCAAACCCACCTGAACTTAGTTGTATTTGTAACCATTTTTCCAAACTGAAGAACATGTACCTGCTTGGTCTGCTACCTTAATTTTTCTGCCTTTTAAAGCATTTTCCTCAGCAACCAGCAGGAAATCTGGAAACACATTCAAAGGCTTCCTTGTAACATTAAGCTTGAATTTTGGTCTTGATATAACAGGGAGAGGGAGAATGAAATGTTACAAGTTGAACCAAAGGAAAAGAAAAAGAAAAACCATGGTGTGCAGGACATTTGGCAGATTGAGTAAATGCATGGATCTGTTTTTGTTTTGTTTTGTTTTTTGGTTTTTTTAAAAATATATTTTATTGATTTTTTTACGGAGAGGAAGGGAGAGGGATAGCGAGTTAGAAACATCAATGAGAGAGAAACATCGATTCAGCTGCCTCTTGCACGCCCCCTACTGGGGATGTGCCCGCAACCCAGGTACATGCCCTTGACCGGAATCGAACCTGGGACCCTTGAGTCCGCAGGCCAACTCTCTATCCGCTGAGCCAAACCAGCTAGGGCTATGCATGTATCTGTTTTAAGAAGAGCATGTCACACCTATATTATTGTACTTCCATATAAGTCTTTCAGTATTTCCTCTGTAAGTCCATATTCTGATATTCAATAGCTTCCTTGTTCAAAAAAATACTTTTATCATTATAGGAATATATCCTGGAGTTGTGTCAATTGGTTGTAAATTATAGTAATATATGAAGAGATTAAGTAATACTATCAACTCTTTGCAACTCTTAAGAAAGCTATGCACCTTTGTTGATTTGAGAAAAAATCAAGAATGTTGAGATAATCAATAGAGTGACTTTTATCTACTCATTATTAAAATAATACTCTCACTTTCATGGATTGTTTTTAAACATCAGAACCTACTCTTTGAAATTAAACCAGACACAGACCAAATAAAGCATAATTAAGGGTCAACTGGAAGGAATCTAAGGGGAGTAGTCTTAGTTGAGCTTGCAAAGGGAGTTTCCTATATTGGTTTGAGAATTTTTACATTTAACATTTTTTATTGATAAATTTTGCATATTGTTATTTTCAGACATAGTATACATTGGGATGTATATTAACAGAGTTATAAAAAAAAGAAAAAAGAATGCAACCTAAAAATACAAGAAGAATGCATTATCATGAAAGCACTGTTGAAATTATTTTCTTATTAGGTTACGTGTAAAGTTGACAAACGAATTCAGTAATGTGCTCTTTGGATAGATAGACATCATCTAGGAAAGCATAACATTCTTATTACTGATAAATTGGGTTATCATAAAAATAAAAAAAATAATGCATTCAAATGACATAAATCAGTAACAATTTTTGAACTCCTTTTTGTTTCTCTCAACAGGAACTCCATTCTCCAACTCTGAAAATATCTACTTGTACCCCAAGCACTCTACACATGACCCCAGCTACTGAGCAGGTAAAAGATTTTATAGATTAGATTTTATTATTTTCTTTTAATGTAAGCCTTGCTCATATGCTTAAACAATCTTTAGACCCTCAAGGGTTTTACGCATTCAAAAATGCCAGGAACATAAAACTAGAAAGGGAATTCTCACATATGAGCATTAGTTCAGCCCATCAAAGAATGTGAAGCAAGTGCTAAAATAATTGCTGTGAATTGGGATTTTTCAGTTTCATTGTCTACTCAATCTGATTGCTTTTACTTTGAGTGTAGTTTATTTTTAGCCAAGGATCTCCTTGTGATTATGTATATTTTAAGGGTCCTTGATTTGAGCACAAAAGAAGTACACAGATCTTGGATTGATTGAGGACTTAACTGTGTGAATGTTAGTACTATGAGTTTACATTCAGAGAGAATAACTTATACGGTCAGAACTAACCTTTCTCAAAAGTTTGTGCTTTAAAAGGCACACAAGGATCTAGATTCCTTAGTATTTATGACCTAATACCCATTTTTAAGATTATTCTTGAGCCTAAGCATTAGATCTTTAAAAGACACAATAATAATACTGAAATGCCATATTAACAAATATGTGTTTAATGAGCTAGTCACCATATCTCAAAAAGTAGATTCTAAGAACATAAAATATAAAACATCCAAATTGTGTTACTACATAGTAGGGGAGTATAAAGTGTATGGGATTTTGAGGATGAGAGCAAGATGAGGTTTCAGGGTGTGAACTTGGACAGTATAGGCACAGATAGACAAAAACTGGTCCCTAGAATTTGGATACAGTAAGGAAAAGGTGATATTATGTAGAACCAAAAATGATTATCAAAGAAAACTTTGCCTACCTCATCCCAATTTGGCCTAACCAGGAACTAGGTCATTTGGAGTCATGCATTTATTCAGCAAACATTTGCTTAGTGCCAAGTATGTAGCAAATATTGCACAAAGATGAATTAGACCCCATTATTATTCTCAAAGAGCTCACAGACTAACATGGGTCATATACATGACAAAACACAAGACAGTGGTGTAAAGCTATAACTGAATTTAAAATGGAGTCCTATGGGACCACCAAGATATAATTACCTCCGAAAAATGAGTCCACTTAAATCATAGTGCTGTTCACTATACTTAAATCCTGTCAGAAAATTGCATTCACTGATATTTCTCATAATAAAAGGACTTTAAAACTGGGTTTACTGTATGTTTTATTTCTGACAATAAAAATATGTTTATTATAGAATTGTGGCACTATAAAAGAATATGAAGAAGAGAAAAATAAAACTCCTTCATTATCTCCTCCCTTACTTAGAGATACTACTCTTAGTATTTTGTTTCCTTCCATTCAAATAAAAAATTGTGATCATGCCATATATGCAATTTTATATCTTCATTTTCACGTAACGTTATATAATATTGTGAGCTTTTTTTCATGTAAATTTTCATTACTCAAGGTGGTTATTTTGATGGCTACATAGTTTTGCCTACATGTGATTATTTAATCTTTCCCTTCACCATAAGAAAGTGCTCCTGCTACTGCACCCTATCAACATTATTATTTTAAAAATTTCTCCAGTTAAAACATGGTGTTCTTTTGTTATGTTTATGGATTCCTAGTTTGGTTGAATACTTTTGTTATTTAATAACCATTTGCTTTACTTCTATTACATGCTGTTTTTTCATTTTTCTATTAGTGTGAAGATTTTCTTGTTACTGAGGTATAAAATCTCTCATTGTATTAATAATATTGACTCTTTTTCCTTCAAAACTTTGCAGATTACTTTGTTTTAGTATTTTGTCTTCCTTTTAATGTTATTTATGGCCCTCCCCACCACTACACTGAAGATTTAAGTGTTTAAGTACACACACACACACACACACACACACACACACACACACACACATACACACAGTTTTCTCTTTGCATCTCCTTCCATTTTTTTAAAAAAAATATAGGTTGTCCTTTTCAAACAGATATAATTAATAAATGCTATGCTATATTTTTCAAATCATGTGGAAGCATTTATAATGCAATAAATATTTTGAAACTCTCATAAAATATAATTTAGAAGGTGTGATTAATTTACCATGAAATTAGTATAATAGAAATACCTAGCACAGTGCTCAGCACATAAAATATGCTTTCATACATGTTTTTGAGACTGAAATTAATGACAACACTAAGTCAGATGTCATTATTTATGCAAATGACTAAAACTTTTACTGTGAAAATTGCTCCCTATTATTATTGATGGCTCCAAGGTCACTAAATAACTATAATTATATGAATTTTTTATCTTTTCTTCACAGGAACTTCATTCTCCAATAGTAAAAGTCACTACATATCCACAGACCACTATTAGGAGATATATAGTACAAAATCCTGAACAGGTAATCCATGTCACACAAAAATCTTGTCCCAACCTATAATTCCTTAGATGTGTGAGTCAGTTACCATATCCCTAAAATCAGATTGTTGGACTTTCTTCTGGTTATAAAGTTAATTCTTAATCACCATAATTCTAGACAATCATGTGCCCATACATTCTGACTCAGAGCTGTAAGAGTTCCAAGAAGTATATAAATCATTGGGTTATAAAATCTACTTCATAGCCCCACCCCTGTGCCACAAAGGATTTCTGTGCACTTTGAACCAAAGAAAAAGGGACAAACTTCTTTCATAAGCTTCATATAAAAGCTATCAGTTGTGCCCTAGCTAGTTTGGCTCAGTGGATAGAGAATTGGTCTGCGGACTGAAGGGTCCCAGGTTCGATTCTGACAAAGGGCACATGCTCAGGTTGCGGGCTCAATTCCCAGTGGGGGGCATGCAGGAGACAGCCAATCAATGATTCTCTCTCATCATTTTTTCTCTCTCATCATTCTCTCTCCTTCTTCCTTCCTCTCTGAAATCAATAAAGAAATACACACACACACACACACACACACACACACACAGCTATCAGTTGTTATATCACAGGTTGGAGTATTTAGTATATTTAAATATGCCATTGAGATATGGTTTAGAAGAAGAAAATGAAAAGTTCAAAAGTGTCCCCATGGCTTTGTTGCATATGGTGAATGAACTTTTGTTCCCATTGATGGGCTGTTAAAAACTACATATTATATAAAACATATGACCTTATATTTTACAAACTAGGATATTGTTATCTATTTTGAGGATAAAATTAAGAAAACTTTCCCCCCGCAGTAATAAGCCTTCCTCAAACACACCACACACACCACACACACACACACACACATACACACACACACACACACACACACACACACACCCCACACACACACCTGCACGCACACGTGCAGCCAGACATGGCCCTTCTTTAGCTGCAATAGGAGGTTTTCCTATTGGGTTACAAATACAAAAGTTTCACAAATAGAAACAGTGTGGCCCAGATAGTAACACAGCTGTTCTTTGCTTTGCTCTTTATTATATCTCTTCATTATTGCAGAAAACAACCCTTCCCTTTTTCACAAAATAAATTTGATCACTTGCTTCAGCTGTGGTAAGCAAAGGGTTAAATTAGGTCAACACACTTGGTACTATTCTAGGTAGATGAGGAGGATGTACTATTCTTTTGTTTGTATCAATCTCCCATCTTCTTTCTTTATTTTTAAATCACTTTCTCATATTTCTTTAGCCAGGGAGGCTGGTGTGTGTGTGTGTGTGTGTGTGTGTGTGAGAGAGAGAGAGAGAGAGAGAGAGAGAGAGAGAGAGAGAGAGAGAGAGAGAGAGAGAGAACCTGTGAGCATGCATTCTCTGTATTGGGGGTGATTGTTTCAGGTATTTGCTTGAGTTTCCATGTATTTGTGTAAATATCAAAAGAGAACTGCTTGCTCCTTCTTTTGCAGAATCAAAAGCAACAAATATGAAAATTGTGTCAGGGAGGAGGCCATAAGGATGGCGTGGAAGATGAGAGTGTGCTTCTTTTGCACACAAACTAGAGACTGTGTATATTAGGATGCATATTTTATTTGATAACTCTAGCTTTCAAATAAATAATTCTAAATAGTGCTTTTTTTCATAATGTGAGAATTGCTGTTAGGATATATCCACAGAGAGATTTAAAAAATGAAATCATTTGAATTCCACCCACATTGCCAGCAGTTCTTATGTGACTTTAAAAAAAATTATCTTTATTGTTGAAAGTATTAAAGATGTCCCCTTTGTTTTTTCCCCCATTGACCCCTTTCACCTTGTACCCGCCCCTTCACCACACTGTTGTCTGTGTCCATGGGTTACGCATATAGGCATATAAATTCCCTGTTTAATCTCTCCCCCCACGTACTCATCCCTGCCTTCCCTCTGAGATTCATCAGTCTGTTCCATGCTTCAATGTATCTGGATCTATTTTGTTCATCAGTTTATTTTGTTCATTAGATTTCACATATGAGTGAGATCATGTGATACTTCTCTTTCTCTGGCTCTTATGTGACTTTGGATAAATTATTTAGTTAATGGGGAAAGGGAAGAATGAATATTTATTTGAAATACACTCCTTGCTAGGCAATTTACATATTTTATCCCATTTAATTCTAAAAAGGTGAGAAAACAGAAGCACAGATAAATTAGAAGTATGTATGCAAGTGTGTAACGTATTTGTAACACTGCACTTGCTTATTATTATGGCTATGTTCAACTACAAAGAAGCAAATAATTTCTTTGTGAGAAGAGGCTATAGAGGGTTAAAGAAAAATAATAATTTAATGCTTTTACCTATTTCCATTATTGAGGAATAAAACGAATTTCAATCTGATGCTTTGTAAACAAAAATAATCTAACCGGTTTTACAGAGCAGTTGAAAATCCTGTCTAGATATATTCTGCATTTTATTTATCTAAGTGTATGCTTTTTTGTTTGTTCTTTTAAATTTCCCCAGGAATAGATTCTGTCTTAATTACAATATTTATAGTAAGCTGAGCCTTCTAAGTGGCAACTTTATCCTCTTTCACCTCCCATTTTCTCTAATCTTTACTTATCCTCCCTGTAATTAAACTGATGCCATTCCACTTTCCTCAATATGATTTCCTTCAAATTCTGATGAGCTGTTTTTTTTTTGGTTGTTCCTGACTTTCTTTACTCTTCATTTATTGTCATTTTATTCAAAGTATTTATACATTATGATATATAACTTGACCCAGAAATCAGAGAAGTATTTGTTGCTTTAAGTAGTCAGAGTCCTGTTGATATTACTCAGTTTCATTAATTTTCCAGTGTGGAGATCCTCCTGTGGGGAGGGTACTGTACAGCCTTCAGATAAAAAAGGGAAATAAGACATGGTTCCAAAACCAATGTAGCTTACAATTGTTCTCAGGAAGGGAAATAAGATATAGCCACAAACATCTATGTAAAATACATGGTGAGGTGCATGATAGATGCCATGAAAGAAATACTGATGAAGTCTTATTGAAGTTTAAAGGTTGGAGATAACATATTTATTTAGGGGGGGTGGAATTAGGGAAGGATTTATTGTGGTATTTAAGGCATTTTTACAATTAACACTGTTTTTAGTATTATTTTACTAATAAGGGAACTAAAGCTCAAATAAGTATAACTTGCTCAGTTTTTTTTTGTTTGTTTTTTGTGTTTTGTTTTGTTTTTCTCCAAATCTATCACTCGTTATCTTTTTCACAGTTATTCTGGGAGTAGTTTTGATAAGATCTGATGACTTATATTGGATATAGGGTTAAAAGAAGAACAGTCAAACATGATCATAAGCTTTTCAATTTTAGATACTGGGAGTATGGTAGCCAATTAAAAAGATGAAGAAGTTAGGGGAGAAGAAGCTGGTTTGGGAAAGTGGAAGATTTGATATTTGTTTGAACCAGTGGCATTTGAGGGGAATGGAACAGAAGATGCTCAACAGACAGTTAAAAATGACTTGGAGAAAGGTCCCATTTGAGATAGAGACTATGGTAGTTATTCCTCTTAAAATTATTATTATTGTGACTGTGGGAATGGGTGAGATAACTAAGGGGTAATGGAGAGGGTTGAGGTTATAACCTTGAGAAATTCCTACTTCGAGGGAATAGAAGGAAGGAACCATTTACACAAGCAGAGGATCTGCCACAGAGGGAATGAACACAGAGTAACTGAAACAAGTTCAGAAAGGACGTGATCATCTGTCTAAAGTGACAAAAAGGCCAAGGAGAAGGATCCTTAAGAATAGAGTTTGACCATTAAGAAAGCAGTGGTGATATTTGAGAGAGCATTTTTGGTATACCCGTGGAGGCAAAATCCAGATGCAATAAGTTAATGGGTGAATATATCAAGAAGCAGGGGAAGAAGTAAGTGAGGATTATTATTCCACAGAAGGTATTGGTCATAGGAAGAAGAGAGGAGATAGTAGTTAAAGAAGAAAACAGAATTATGAGAGATTTGTAGACAGAGGGAAAGAACCAGTTCATAAGGAAGACTAAAGACTAAATGGGGACGACTGGGACAAGATTCTGGAAGAAACATGAGAAGATAGGATTCCAGGTACAGATAGAGAAGTGAGTTTGAGGGAGGGGAGTATGTCTTTCTCTATAATGAGAGGAAAATGAGTGAATCTCATTGGATAGATTATCTTGGTTTTCTCAATAAGTAAAAGGAAAATGATGGATCATGAGCATAGAGGATTGAGGAAAATTAAAATATTTTAACCATAATTATAGATAATTTGAGAAATACAAGTATGACCATGAAGGTTAGGAGGGTCTCTTAAATTTAGATGAATTTGTATTGAGCTTAATCAGCCAATCTTTTTTTTTTTTCTCTCTCTCTCTCCAGCAAGGTTTCATGACATTGGAACAGTAAAGTAGGTGTTGGGGATTATGGACTTTGTTAGATGTGAGAACTATTGCCAGAGGTCCTAAAAGTAACAATTATAATTATAAGATCAGGCATCTTTGAAAACACCTACTAATTTTTAGGGTGGATCTGGCTCCAATTCAAATGTACAGATAGAAAAAAATAAGCTGACAAAACAGTAAAACTGTCCAGTAGCACATTTATGAGAAACCTATGACTTTAAATTTATTTTGCTAACCTGTTTCACTCAGAATGATGTGTTCATAGTATCATTTGGTTTTACCTTCTTTTCAATTTGGGGAAAATAATAGTCCCCTAAATTTGAAAGTATTTTTTTCTCAATAAGTCATTTAAAATAATAATGCCAACACTTATTTCAGAGAGAATCAACACTGTCACCACCTAAACCTTTTTTCTTCTTAAAAATAATAATGGTTCAACATTTACTAGTACAGTAAACTTTAATTCACATAGAACATTTCATTATTTTTGCTATATTTGTTTTTTGCCTCTTAGAAGATGCATATATCCTTAAGATAAAGTTTCAGCTCATCCCTTCTCATCCAATCATCTGTTCATTTGCTATGTGGTATTCAGGATGGATAAAGTCCCTGTATTCAATAGGTCTACTTTAGTATATTTTTTAACTTGGTATCCTAGAAAAGTTTTAACAATATTCTCATAAATTATTTTAAATCAGTATGGATTTTAAATATTATATTACTACTAGAGGCCAGGTGCACGAATTTGTGCACCAGTGGAGTCCCTCAGCCTGGCCTGAGGGACTGGGTCAAAATCGGCTCTTCGACATCCCCCAAGGGGTCCTGGATTGCGAGAGGGCGCAGGCCAGGCCGAGGGACCCCACCAGTGCACAATCGGGGCCAGGGAGAGATGCAAGAGGTTGGCCAGCTGGAAGAGACCACGGGAGGGCTCCAAGGCATGTCTGGCCCCATCTTGCTCAGTCCTGATTGGCCAGAGCCCAGCAGCAAGCTAACCTACTGGTCAGAGCATCTGCCTCCTAGTGGTCAGTGCATGTTATAGTGGCTGGTCGACTGGTCAACTGGCTGTCCCCTGGTCGTCAGTGCATGTCATAGCAAGTGGTTGAGCTGCCTTAGCATATTATGCTTTGATTGGTTGAACAGCTGACTGGATGACCAGACACTTAGCATATTAGGCTTTTATTATATAGGATATTATTAAAAACTATGTCATTTGTATATTAAAATTATGGATGAAAGGTTCTTTAAAATATATTATTTTGCTTGATATAAAGTTCCGTGCATTATTATCCCTATGAGCCTCAGAGAAGGAAAATTACTTGCCCAAGTTTCCACAGCAAGTATGTAGTATACACAGGAATGCATACAGGTTTTATGACTCCATAATTTTTCCCATTACACTTGCTGCCACTAATTTTAGTCCAAATTCAATCCACTTTGCAATTCTCACCTGTTGAGTTTCTGAATCTTTTATACCTTCATTCACCTTCCCACTGTTTCCTTTTTTAGTTGTATATTAAATTTGTTGAGGTGACATTAGTTAATAAGATTATATAGGTTTCAGGTGTACATTTCTATGATACATGGTCTGTATAGTGCATTCTCTTCTCTTGATTTTATGACATTTTTCTTTTCTGATTCTCATACTCCTTAAGACTTATCTAGTTCTGTTTGATCTCCACTTACCTTTTCAACAATGGCATGCTTTTACTAGAACTTATAAGCATATGATTCTGAAATCCAAAACTGTAGTCATGAGATCCTTATTCAGTTCCAGACATGTTTTCAACTGTGTGCTGGACATCTATATCTGAATGCCCATCTGCGCATTTTTGTAAGAGTCTCTTTGCTAGTTCTTTGCAATAATTTAACACATGCTTAAGTGTTTACTATGTACTATATACCTTATTAAGTGCTATGAGAAACAAAACCATGAATCAAACCTGGATTCTTGGGAGCATATGAAACTCAAAATGTCTCAACTTTTTTTGTGTTGTTTTTTTTTGTCATCACTGACCATATCATATATTCCTCATGGTCAAGATCTCAGAGTCATCTTAGAAAAGTACTGTCCTTAATGATATAGGATAATCTGCTAACTGTTCTCCTCACATGTACCCTTTCCTTTCTCCAATTACTCTTCCCAAAGTTCACCGCTCACATAAGCTTCTCACTTCTTACTACTTGCAGAACCAAGCCCCATCTGCCGAGTATGTTCCCTACATACAACTTACACTTTTCCAATGTTGGTGCCTTGACTTATTTTGTTTTCTTCACTTAGAATACTATTTCTTCCATTTCTTCATATCCAAAGCATAACTTAACCTTCTCTCAAATGCCATCTGATCCAAGTAATGTACTGACCATTGCTAAATGAAATTCCATTTTGTCTCCTGAATTCCATCCTATAAGTTATTTCTCTGTACCTTTTACACTTACGACTTTCTACCTTGTATTATAGATATTTATGTTCATATATTATCTAGACCAGATATTAGAAAAACTTTTCTGTTAAGGGCCATATAGTAAATATTTTAGGTTTTTCTGGCCACATGGGGTCTCAGTCCTTCCTTTTATTTACAGGCCTTTAAAAATCTAAATACCATTCTTAGTTTGAAGACATCACAAAAATAGACTGCTGGTTAAGTTTGATAAATTCTGATCAACATTTAATGCTCCTGGTAATAATCTAAGTATGATTCATGCTTTATAACACTGAGCAAAGTATATTGAGCATAGTAACCTCTTAAACATGCTACAATGATTGCAAATAACTACCCAAAAGGTGTTGTTGTTTTTTCAAAAACAAACAAGTATAAAATAGCTTCTAGGGGAATTTATCTAAATATATCCATCTTCACATTTAGTAACTCATCAGCTAGTCAATTTTAATTACTTATATGCTTTTCAACCAAAGTATCCCAGGTCATTTAGTTCAAGCACTCTTTATTCAAACATGAATATAAGAAGTATATAGCTTTGTGTTCAAAAGTGTCTTGTGTTCTCAACAACCAGTGTTTTAGTTCTATTATTCTAAACTATATTACAATAGAAGACTGCAAAAATGCTAGAACCTTTTGTTGATTTTGAAATGGTCTTAAATATGTTAACTAGTAACAACCTTGGCCAATCCCTTTCTAAACTGTTCCTGTGTCCCAAAACAGATCAATGCAATTTTTGGTTTGTAACAAAACAACTCCAACTCCCCATCTACAAGTTAAAGACTCATGAAAACCAAACGAAGGGAAAGGAATATATATAGTGCACATTACATTTATTTTAGACTCCAGATATAATTTTAATAGCTCTTTCCTGGTTTCTTTCATATCTTGAACATGTCACCAGCCTTTATTTCACTGGCTGACATCTTCTAAGATAATACTACATCAATTTAGTTGATTATATGGAGATACAGTGGCTCTTAAACCTTTACTCTGTTCTCAGTATTCAAAACATATTGTACTGAGAGCCTGAGCTTTGATTATCATCTCAAATAAGAACTGTACACTTCAAGGGTACCCAGATTGAGTACCAGGAAAAGAAATTATGTAATATAGTTCTACCTACTTTATGGCTCAGTGGTGATGAATTATGTTTATTTTGCATTTCTCTAATAATACTTTTACAGGGAGCGAAACCTGCCCGAGAACCAAATTTAAATGAGGTTGACCTCATGCCTGTCTACTTCAGAGAAAACTCTGAGAAAATTATACCTTGCCTTAGGAACAGAAACAAATTCTCTTTTCCACCCCTTTATAATTTCCCCAAAACACTGTGTTAGGCCTCGTTAAATGTAGTAGGAGAGATCCAGATTTTCTGTTTGAGAAAATAGGCTATCTTTATTACTATTTCTTTACGTCTCTCAGACTTTATTGAAATATCTCCTCCTATAGTCTGCCACTACCTCAGAGTTTATTAAAGACTGGATATTTACTTAAGTTAATGTTTCCCTGAAAAGGTACCTTTCAAAGCACAACACAGTTTTTACTGTCTTCATAGGAACCACTGTCTCCATTCCTAAGAGGAGGCCATTTCTTCCCAGGAAACAATGTTATTTATGAAAAAACAATAAGAAAAGTGGAGAAGCTAAATATGGATCAGGTATGTAAAATTTGTTTTAAGGCTTATTTTGTAAGTATATACTTTTGAATTATTAATACTTTAGTAGAGCTTAAATGACATTCAAATGTCAAGAGCTAGACAAGACCTCTGAGTCATAATACTATCTTATTATGTCTGCAGCACTTCATATCATCCTTAACACTTCCATTTCCTCATGTGAAATATTATTGTCCCTGTTATACTGAATGGGAAACTGAAGTAAAGATATGCCAATTCACATAGACAATTAATGGTAGAATCTGAACATAATATAAATATCCCATGCTTTGTATGTTTCTTTTAAACTGGTCTCAGAAAAATCATAATTTAAAACATTATAATTTTATTTTAATTCATTTAACATAAAATGTTAAATTACTATATACGAAAAATATTGTATACTATAAAAGTTCTAGAAAACGAAAGCTTCAAGTCACACTTTTAAAATTCCATTGAACTTAATAAGTACAGCAAGCATGTCAAACTCACAGTCTGTGGGCCACATGCAGCCCACAACGAATATTTTTGCTGCCTAGCCAATATAATGGTATGTAAGAAACGTTTTAATAAAAATTTTGTAACTTAATTTTTATAATATCCTGTTATACATAATTATTAATAACGGACTACAACATTCACTAATGATTACTATAATCATGTTGCATTCATTTCCTTTACGTGCTTTACACGCAGGGACATCATTTCTCTCCACTAATACTAACAGAGGATATTTTAGCAGCCAATTGTCACATCTACAGTCTTGGACTGACTTGTTTGGTGTGCACAACAGGAAATATTTCACTTTCGTAAAATAAGAAAAATAGGTTTTTTGCATTATGCTTATTAATTTGTGCAGTTATTCAGTGTCTGGTAAGTTAATGTTCAAGAAAAATATTAATTTTTATTTAAATGTTCTATTATTTTATGTTAACAATGACTCACTTATTTCAGCCCTTTGTATTCAGCATGTCTCTATCGAAATAAACCTACGTTTCTATGAAAATTGAAACTTTTGGTTTTTTGCAGCCCACATACCGTAAACTTAAACCTTGTTTACTTAGCCCGTGTTAGCCTTGGAGTATGACATGCTTGAAGTACAGGGTACAAAACTGCAGCTCTGAAGGCCCAGTCCTTCAAAGCAGAGTTGTTACTGTAACCTGCAGAGGTTTCCACATGACCTGTTTGGTGGATTCAAGCATGCCCAGCCCACACAAAGCCTGAGACTTATCTCCTGGACATTCTTGAACTAGACAGTGTGTTAATTTCTTAGGGTTGCTGTAACAAACTACCAAACTCTGGATGGCTGAAAACAACAGAAATTTATTTTATCACAGTTCTGAAGGTTAGAGTTAGGGTATCTCAGTGTCGGCAGGGCCATGCTCCCTTTGAAAACTTTAGAGAAGAAACACTTCCATGCCTATCTTCTGGTTTCTGGAGGTAAGGGTTCCTACACTTATAGATGCATAACTTTAATCCTCGACCCTTAAGCGGCATCTTCATATCCTTTTCCCTTTGTGCATGTCTGTCCCTTCATATGAGGCACTAGTAATGTTGAAGTAGGACTTATCCTAATGACTTCACTTTAACTTGATTATACCTCTGTTTCTTAATAAGGTCACATTCTGAGGTACTGGGGATTAAGACTTTAGCATTTCTTTTAGGGGGAGCAAGGGGCACAATTCAGCCAAAAAATAGGCAGTTAAATAATACTGAATGAATTTCAATCACAACATATTTTTTCATATAGGAATGAAAGATTAAAATATACTAAATTTTCCTTTGTAATTTTCTTGGTATGAGAAAATTATTTTTCTGAGCATTTATGGGCAGTTGTTTCCATATTTATAGAAACTAATGTATATTACTTAGATGTTGCCCAATAAAAAATAAATAGGGTAAACTCATTTATAGGCATCCAAATCTTTAAGATTCTGGGCTGCTTGTAAAACTGGATGTAGTCTGAAGGGTACAGTACACATATCTTCCAAGGAACAAACAAAATATTTCTGAACATTATGATTCCAAATAGAAAAATTTAATCAACTATGTCAGTTCTTCAATGGGCGCTTTCCTCAAGCTGTCAAATTATATCATTTTTCCTTTATCGAGCTGAACTGCCAAAATAATAAGTTTAGCACATTTTCAACAGCAAGGAATGGTTGAGGCACATCATTTCATGCTGCTTCCAACTTCTTGTTTCAAAGAGAATAAATAAACGTTTTCTAAATTTTTGTCCCTAGAGGAAAGTATTGAACACCCTGTACATTATTATTGCTTTGCATCTGGATTAATTAAAGAAGAACCCCTTTAAGAGAACACTGCCGCTACTTACTATTAACATATATTTACATTTCTATTTCCCCTTTTCTCATGAATGACTTAACTGATTTGGGAGTTTTGGAACTACCATGGAGATTTCCCAAGGTAAAAGGAGCCATTCATATAGGATAAACTACAACTGCTTTGTTGTAGTTGAATTTCCTCAGTAATAGAAATACAGTGAGATGATCTGGATAAAGCCAGAATCTGTACAAACCTGTTTAGTATGACATGAGACTAATTCAAATAAGATTAGCTCTTAGGCAATGGGACCTGTCCAAGAAAGAGGTCTTTGCATTAGAAGGCTGTTAAAATGGTACCAGGTGCAACATATTATCCAATTCATATGAATTGTACTCTATATTTTTTCTCTATCAATGAAGACAAAATATATGATAAATCAAAAGTGATCTCTTGCAGGTTAAAAACTCAGCTTATAGTATGCTTCAAAAGTATGAGTAATATATGAATATCTTGCTTTGGAACAACAATTTTAGTAGTCACGTGTGAGAATTGAAAACTGAGTACCTGCTAAGACTTCAGTGGTTCCAGTGAGTGGGTACGAGGCCAAATAGGTTCAGGGAAACCACAAAGCACCCCAGATGGAGAGACTATTCCCATTCTATTCAAGAGGCAATGGATACTTTAATAAAGGAAGATGAGTGAGAAATTAGTTTTGTTTTCTTTATTATTCTTTATTGATATGTCCTTTCAAAGTGTTTCCTAACTTGTTTTTTGAAGAAATACATTATATTTTTTTCAGGAGAAATTCTATTTCAGTAGTGTATGAGCTTCCCACTGTGTGAAAGTTTTCTCAGAGTTCAGACTTTCACTGACTTTATCCTAATCCAATGTATGAAGGTATTTTGTAACATTAAAGAACAGATAATACATTTACCCCCTGAATTTGTGTAAGAGTTCCTGATTAGTACACAGCCAGACTTTTAAACTGTAGACATCTTAGTGCTTGTATGTTTGTAAAGTAAGTCATATTGGAAACGAGCCTATAGAAAATGATTCTATGAACTGATTCTATGATCTTTATTATCTATATGTCTACCAATTCAGTTTCTGTTTGTAAAATGTGTTTCTTTAAATATTTTTCTTTCTTTCAAAATACTTTTTCTATACATGAAATGATAATTAATACACATAGCTAAAAACATCAAGGCATAAAATGTATTAAGAGGCACAAAAAAGTATAAAAAGAGAGTAAAAATGCATACAGTGAATAAATAGCCTATCTATCCTGATTCTCTTGTCCCTCAGTTCATCTTCTCAGGCAGTAACTCTTAAAAGTGTTTTGCTCTGTGCATTTCAAAGCCATCATATATATTTGTAAATATACATATATGTACATTTTTTAAAATGTTATACAAAGGGAGCATACTATATTGATTCTTACGCATCTTGCTTTTCCCATTCAACATAGTTTAAAATTGTTTCATATAAAAACTGAAGATCTGAAGTGTTTTCTTTTATTAATACAAGTCAGCTTTCCACAGTCAAAGAAAATAGGGCACTCAATTTATACTTTTGCAGTTAATTGTATGTGCATGAATATATTACTATAAGTCAAAAAGTATTATTTTTTTCTTTGAAAATTGGCTTTCAGGTGCCTGTTATCAAAGTAGAACATTAACAAAAAAAGTGCAGGAAATTCAAATAAACCTGAAAGCCCTCAAACTGAAATAACCAAATATCTTTTTTATTCTGTGCTCTATACTTATGAGGAGGAAAAAACCTCCATGACAAATGAACAAGCAGATAGCAAAGATTTAATTAAAAAACAAGTTACAGAACATATTAATGGCAGTAAAAATTTAGCTTAATGTTCTAAAAGAGCTCTGATATAGAAATCATGAGTTCCAGTCCCAATTTTGCCACTGATTAGTTGTGTAATTTTAAGATAATCATCCATTAGTTCATTTATTCTTCATAACAACCCAATGCGACACATATTGTTTCCACTTTTACAAAGGAGGAAACTGAGGCTAATAAAGATTGCATATGCAGTTTCTCAAGATCACACAGTAAGTGATAAAATCAGACTTAGAATACATATTTTCTGGATCTGAATTTTCAGTCACTGTTTTTGAATATTTTTTCTTAATTCATACTCGGTTTTCATAAGCGTAAGAACTTTCTCCACCTCCACTGTGATTCCTAACATTGAAAATCACTACATTATATTATTTTCTAATTTTATAATTCATCTACAGCTTCAGAATTATAGTATTATTAGGTAATTAGGTGCTGAAGTATCTGTTGAATCATCAAAAAAGAGGATTTAATATTAATATTCATTATAGTTTTAGTGATAACTATTAGTGGAATATTAATTTAATCAGAACATTCAAGTCCCTGACCCATTTAGGTAAGTATTTGGATGGTCACAGCCACTTGATCAAATAAAAATAGAATTCAATAAAATTTCCCCCAATGGAATACTTTAAAATTGATGAAAGTAAACAAAATAGAAACAGATCCATATGCACAAAGGGGAGGAGTGTTGGGGAACGGAGTGATAAAGGTGAAGGGATTATGCCAAAAAAAAACACAACAATCTCATAGACACAGACAGCAGTATGGTGATTGCCAGAGAGAAGTGGGGAGGGGGGGAGGGAGAGGTTGAAGGTTTAATGGAGGGATAAGTGGCGACAGAAGGAGACTTGACTTGGGATGGTGAACACACAATATACATATGATGTATTATAGAATTGTATACCTAAAACCTATATGATTGTATTAACCAATGTTACCTCAATAGATTCAATAAAATTTAAAAAAGAAAAGAAAAGAAACAGAAAAAATCACTTAGTAAAGCTACAAATCCTAGGGCTTCAAATATCTTGTGAAAGAAAATTTTAAAATAGTTTCAGTTGGGTTTTTCTTGATCAGTAATTTTTATTCTCAATGACTCTTTTTGGTATGTGTTTTAGGAATTCTATCCTCAGGTTCAGTGCCATCATCACATTGTCCAACAGCCCCAGATCATCCACTCTCCTCATTGTCAACAATCCCATTCTAGCCAGCAAATCCAAACTATCACAGGAGGTGACTCAACATCTACAAGCATTGGAAATGACCTTTGCCATGGTGAATCAAGCCATATACATGAACAGGTAAGTTCAATTAACTGATACCTTACAAAATTGAAATAATACCCTTAAACACTTCTCACTCTGTACAAGTACCCATATTAAATTTTCATCAAAATATTGAAGAGTTATGTAACTAGGATTTGTAATTTGTTACAGTATTTTAAAAACTAAATTTCCTTTTCCTCTCAGAACACAAAATATTTCAGGTCTATTAATGAACTAAATCTATGAAGGAATCATGAATTGATTAATAAATTCCTGATTTATAGCTGATCCTCAGGTCTAAATTGGTCCTAATGGTTGTAAAACATTAAATATTTTTAAACATTAAATACTTTCATGAGATATGGTACTTAAATGAACAGTGATTTGCAAATGATATTATTGAAGGTTATTATAATGGTCTCATTTCACAGGCTGGTAATTACTTCCTATATGTCTTCTTTGAAAATATGGTATATTAAGTCAAGTTAAAATGTATACAATTTATTGTATATTACATAAACAAAATATAAACTAAAATTTAGTTGCTAAGCATTAATCTCTTCGGATATAATTGCCAGTGACTAATTTATGTTCTGAAAACTTTGGAATCTTGTAAACATCTGTTATGCAAGTGTTAAAGGAAAAAAGATTTTCTTGTATCTTGGTAAAGTTAACAACAGGAACAATGAATAATCAACATCATTTGTATGTTTTCAGATGTTTTTTCTAGTAAAGAATAACTTGCTCAAATTGACCCTTTCATAGGCAACTCTTAGTAAAAGATAAAAGGAGAAAAAATAAGAAAAAATAAAGGAACCTGTCCACATAAGAATTTGATTGATTTATATTAAATATACATGATATTACTTCTAAGGGCTGTGAATTTGAAATATGCACTTTATCTGTATTTGTCAAAAAGAACCACAAATAATTTAAAAATCCACCATTTTCAATCTATAAAGCCTTAGAATGATATTTTCTCTGAACCATCTTATTAGATTAAGTCACTTGAAATATAGTTAAATCTTGTAATTTGCTTCAGTTTCTTCATTTTAAAATAAAGATTTTACATCACTCATTTCTTACAGGCTATTCTAAGAATAAATTATGTTTTGTATGCTAAGCACTTACCATAGTTGAGTGCTATTGGAAAGTACTTAACAAAATAGTAGTTCTTAGTTTTTAGTAGCAATTATTATTTATAAACATTAAATCTTCATGCCAGGTCCTATGAAAAATACTAAAGTGGGTAAAGCATTGTCACATTTCTTATAAGTGTTTACTATCTAATATGGAAATGACAAACTTAAAACATAACACAAAACTAAGTGTCTTCTGTCATAACAGAGGAACAAGTAATGTGCTTTGAGAACAGAAGAGAGAAGAAATTAATTTCAGCTGGAAGGTCAAGGAAAGCTTTGTTGAGGAGGCAGGAATTGAACTGGGCTTTGAAGAGTGAGCCAATTTTTATATGTGGTATTATGGTGTGGCATAGAGTTGACTCCTAAGAGGGAATTACCTGAAAAAAGTTATAGGTTTGGGAATTTACATTTTGGGCTTCAGGAATAGGTTTACAGTTAGTGGTTTGGTTTGTATGGAAAGGAAGACAGAATGAGGAGTACTAGATCATGAGGCTCAAATGTTAAGTTTAAAATGTTGAACTTTATTTGGTAGGCAGTGCAGAGTGAGTGAAGGTTATTAAGTAGGAAAATACTGATAGGTGTGCTTTAGGAGGTTAATCCTAGCAGCTTTGTACAAGACAGATTGGCATACTGATTAATTTTATTCTCACAGTGATCAGATGAAGGTGTCATAACAGTAGGTAGGGAGTGAGGGGCAATTATCAGAGATGGGAATAACATGCTAGGATTAAGAATCTTGAATAGTGGCAATGGTGATGCTATATTCTTTCATTAGCTCAGTACAACTAAGAATATATTTGACCAGACAAGATATTGTCTATTTAAAAAAATGGGTAGAGTTGGGTAACTAATATATTACTTTCTATTCTATTATTCATACTTCAGTTTGAGATTTGTCAAATGCTGGTGGCTTTTTTGTATATATAACATTTTTCTAGTTTTTCAATAGCTTCTGATGATAAAGTTGAAGTGCTGCTGAAAATAGAACAGTGCCCTGGGAATCTTAGATGTGGTAATTCTACTTGTATGGGGTTACATAGGATTGGATCCATTCTTGGTCAGAGTGAAGAGTAACCTGACTGTGCAAATCCCATGGACAAGGGATGACAGGGAGTGATTAGTCTCACCTAGGTTCCTTGGTGTTTATATGTCTCTTCCACCTGGCAGAAGTCTCTTTAAAGAGTAATAGAGCAGAAGTAAGTTGGGCTTTTTAAAAATATACATATTTTATTGATTTTTTACAGAGAGGAAAGGAGAGGGATAGACAGGTAGGATAATTGATGAGAGAGAAACACCAATCAGCTGCACACCCCCTACTGGGGATGTGCCCTCAACCAAGGTACGTGCCCTTGACCAGAATCGAACCTGGGACCCTTCAGTCCACAGGCTGATGCTCTATCCACTGAGCCAAACTAGTCAGGGCAAGTTGGGCCTTTTTAAAACTAAAGGTTGGCCCATTTTTAGTTTGTGTTTAGAGTTCAATTGTAAGTGGAGGTAGCATAATAAGGTGGGAAAAATATAGACTTTAAATTCAATTATTTAGGCTTATAAAAGCCTGCGCTGTATGATCTGAGGTGTTTGATTTAACTGAAGTAACTGACTTAACTGAACTGAACCTCAGTTTCCCCATCTATAAAAGAGGTAGAATCATACTTAATGTGTAGTGTATCTACAATACAGTTCAATGAGATAAAATATCTAAAGTACCTGGCTTAGTGTCAAGCACAAAGTAGATGCGCAAATGAATGTCCAATTTTCTATCTTCTCCCTCCCTGAACACCATGCCACAAATCTTTCCAAGCATAAATATGTGAAATTGTATTAATATTTTCTCATTGTAATGATATTTTTAAATGAAACTAAAATGCTTTCCACAAAGCAAAATATATTCAAATATTTTTGAAAATAAAATGTGGAAAAACTTGGTTTCAAAATATTTTTTAGAAAACGAATCTATGTATGTTTTTCATGGTTTTCCCTAGAAGTATCACAATTTTGGTTTCAAATTCAAAACATCACTAATCACATGTCTTTCCTGGAGACATTAAGAATAACACACTGTGATCATTTCCCTGCCATGAGCAAGAAATAGATAATTTCACATATGTTAGTGACAGGGGGAAACTCAGCTGAACTCATTTTACAAGTTGTCATACAGGTGGTGGTTATTAGAAAAACTCAAATAATTATGTATATTGTATGTGCAATTCTTTTCCACTTGGCTCAAGGCTTCCAAAAAACCTTTAAGAGTCATGGGAGGATACAAAAAGAACAATCCTGATTACTTGGATAGTGCTATTGCCAAAGGAAAATACTCCAACTTGGATGTTTTTCATTTGAAAATTCAATTTTTGTCAATATCAAGACAGCATAGATCTTAGTGTCAGGTGTTTTTTTCTGGAAAGTACCCAGGCAGCTTTCCACAATGCTTATTTAACATAAGTCCTTCACTAATGATGGAATCTCTGGGCCTTTTAGCTCTATGAACTCAGCAGCTTCCTTACTTATTAACACGTGACTCATATCCCCCTCCATATTAACTGCCTTCTTCACCCCCATTAATGAAAATGAATGTCTTTTATTCAGACCTCTGTCCCCTGCTATTGTTTTGAAAAATTTAATTCATATCTGTGTTGAGCCCATCTTTTCCAAACACGACCCTTATCTGTGTCCCCCTACCTCCTGCTCTGGTGCTCCTTTGAACTCTTGTTTTATGGCAAACAAGAATTGCTATTTATTAGCTCTTTAAAATATTTTTTTATTTTTTTAATTAGAGTAATGCCTGTAATGCTTAAAAGGTCAAATAATAAAAGATATATAAGAAACAGCAATTCCCTGTCCCAACCTTCTTCATGCACACCTGATCCCCCAGAGGCAATCATTTTCAACTCTTAGCTTTTTCTTCTGGTACTTACCTCCATACACCTAAATAGTATGCATATACTTATGCTGTTATTTCTTGATTTATTGAAGTTGTATATTATCTCTTAATAATTCTGATACATAGAATTTAGTTCTATAAATCCCAAGTTTTGTCTAACTCAGTACTCAGTGTTTATGCTACTATTGACATGAAAGTATTGTTTGTTGCTGAACCAATTTGTGTACTGTTTTGCTTCTTTTATTAGTATAACTATTTTTGCTGATATTAATATTTTCCTATTTTTTATTTGTTTGGTTTTCTATGTGTCTTCTGCTAATTCTTTTCTCAAGGCAATTTTATACATTTAAGTGTTCTGGTTTTTGTTGATCAATCATCTTCTCTGTTTAAAACCCTGCAATCCATATACACGAGCCCTCTTGACTTGTATTACCACTATCTACTGACCTTCTAGCCACTCTCCCTATCCTTTCATAGTTTCATTGGCAGGCTTACAATCTTCTCCATTTCCTGATGACCCCTGACCTGTAATTATCTATGAGAACTTCACCACTCATATATATCAGTGGTATTTCCCACACTCTGTCCTCATGGTTCTTCATTACCCTCATTTTTTTTTTTTATTTCTACTACATCCTCAGCCCTCATAGACTGATACCAATCTTTTAAATATCCTTCTATCTTTATTCCAATAGCAAATTGTCCATATGCCTTAAATTAAATAAGACCATTATTTATATGATGGTTTAGCATTTTACCAAAAGGAAAAAAAAGTAGGTATTAAGTTACCTACATTTTCCAGTTGAGAAAACTGAAGTTCAGAAAGTTTAAGCAATATAATTAATCTAAAACTAGGAAGTGGGAACTCCACTTTTGGCTCCAATTTCCATTCTTTTTTTCACTTCAGTGGTTTGCTGCCTAGGTTTACTCATATAGAAAATTAAATTAGGGTTTTATTTTAATTACAGAGCTGTTGTTAGGAGTAAAGTCTCCATTTTAGAATTGTGATTGTT